GCGCAGCCCCCAGCGCAGCCCCATGTCACGCCCGCACTGGGCGCAGGCGGCCACTCTGTGTGCCCACTTACCTTGGGCGTCTTTAGCGCTCTGCTGCCTTATCACTGCCTGAAAGAAAAGAATGTGGGCCAAGGGTCAGCTCGGCCACCTGGCCTGGCCCTGGGCAGGGTCACGGCCCCCGCGGCCACTGCCCAGTGAGCCCGAGGGCGCGGCCCGTCCCAGTCACCCCCTAGCACCTGCCAGAGCTGCGGCTGCAGTGGGGAGGCAGAGGAGGGAGGAAGGGGAGCAGGACGGCTCCCTGCAGCACCGGGAGCCACAGGGGGGAGGCTCCCCCACTCTCTGGGCCCCCCTTTCAGGCCTCCCTCTTACCTTCCGGGGCGCCCTCAGCACCGGAGGCACCCAGTAGGGCATGGCGACCTGTTCCCGAGGCAGCGGGAGGCGGCCCCCAAAGCGGTGGCAGGGGCAGGGGCACACCGTGGAGGTTTGGGGGGCGTGAAACCGCACCGTCTTTTGGATCTAATAGAGGGAGGGAAGAGAAGGCCCAAGGGAGGGCCTGGAGTCCCCCAAGACCCCCGGCACCCCCAGACCACCTGCAGGCTGGGGAAGGGCCACCCATTGGTGGCCTTCCCAAGGGGCCCGTTACCCGTGTGCACCCCAGCAGCGGCACGCCCGGGCTCTGCCCAAGCCTAGCAGCATCCAGGGGCGGCCCTGGGCCCCACACACTGAGGCCTCGGCTGTGGGCTGCAAAGAGGGCCCTGCGCTGGAGCTCAGCTGTGAGGCCCCCCGGAGGAGGCGGGCGCCAGGCCCCAGGACGCCGCTCAGAGTGAGAGCCACGGGTGAGCCTGCACGCTGGGTGCTGGAGAGCGTCCGCCCCGATGGGGGGAGCGTGCCCACAGTCGGGCAGTGAGCCCAGAAGTCCCGGCTTTGCTAAGTGGCCTACCTGTCTGACAGACACACGTCAGGCCAGACACCCAGGCCACAGGAGGCCGGAGGAGCTGGCTCCTGGGAAGACCGGCGAGCCCAGCACCCCCACGCCCCCCCCTCCACC